GTGTGTGTGTGTGTGTGTGTGTGGTGTGTGTGTGTGTGTGTGTGTGTGTGTGTGTGGTGTGTGTGTGTGTGTGTGTGTGGTGTGTGTGTGTGTGTGTGTGTGTGTGTGTGTGTGTGTGGTGTGTGTTGTGTGTGTGTGTGTGTGTGTGTGTGTGTGTGGTGTGTGTGTGGTGTGTGTGTGTGTGTGTGTGGTGTGTGGTGTGTGTGTGTGTGTGTGGTGTGTGTGTGTGTGTGTGTGTGTGTGTGTGTGTGTGTGTGTGTGTGTTGTGTGTGTGTGTGTGTGTGTTGTGTGTGGTGTGTGTGTGTGTGTGTGTGTGTGTGTGGCAGGCAGCCTGAACCATTAGAACAGCCATTAGCTGTTCTAATGAAGGTAAACACAGTGAAGGCACAGCTCTTTGCTGCTGCTGCTCTTCTCAGATTCTGCTGAGTTGCACGTTACTGCCTCCTCCTGGTGGCTGCAGCTTTCATGAAGTGAAGGAGGTTTTTCTTCTATGAAGCAGCTGTGTGCAGCAGATACTGTGAGAGTCACAGACATGAATACATAGGTCAAGGCAGACTGGTTCACAGACTCTCCTGTTTTGCCGATCCGGTGCTTGAACAAATAACTCTACACCCCTGGCCGAAATGTCCCTAAAATGAAGTCCGAGTTTGAAATATATCTCAAATAATGTATGTATTTCCCCACATAAACTACTTTATCCTGCGAACGAGATACTTTCTCTCTCTTTTTTTTCTTTCATTGCCCTCTAGGTGCTTCGTACAATGCAAATGCAAATATTCTATTTTAAAAAGTAAAGTCCTTTCGAGTCATCTGTCTCAAGCCTAAGTCTCAAGTCATGAATACCAAGTCAAAGTCAAGTCTTTTATCAATGTTAGTCAAGCAAGTCTCAAGTTTAAAAATAGTCAAGTCATGTGACGCAAGTCAAGTCATGTGACTCGAGCCAAGTCATGTGACTCGAGCCAAGTCATGTGACTCGAGCCAAGTCATGTGACTCGAGCCAAGTTATGTGACTCGAGTCCCCCACCTCTGGTATATATTTTGGTTAGAATATTGCTGTATTACTGTATCAAATATAATAAAGACAAACAGTTGATAAGTAGTATTTTGTTAACTCAAGGTTTATATTAAGTGAGTTTTTATTGTGTTAACTTGTGTATTTATGCTTTTTAGATTGACTTTCTGTCTTTCTCTGTCCATCTGTTCTAGAAACCGAAAGGAAGAGAGAGACGTCACAGCTGTCAGCAATGTGACAAATCTTTCACAGCATCTGGAACTTTAAAGCGCCACCTGCGTATTCACACAGGAGAAAAACCGTACAGCTGTGAAGAGTGTGGGAACACTTTCAGTAGACCAGGTCATCTCAAAATACATCAACGTATTCATACTGGAGAAAAACCGTACAGCTGTGAAGAGTGTGGGAACACTTTCACTACACCAGGTCATCTCAAAATACATCAACGTATTCATACTGGAGAAAAACCTTACAGCTGTGAAGAGTGTGGGACAACTTTCACTAGATCAGGTGATCTCAAAACACATCAACATATTCATACTGGAGAAAAACCTTACAGCTGTGAAGAGTGTGGGAAAACTTTTACTACATCAGGTGCTCTAGAATCACATCACCGTATTCACACTGGAGAAAAACCTTACTGGTGTGAAGAGTGTGGGAAAACTTTCACTACATCAGGTAATCTCAAAAGACATCAACATATTCACACTGGAGAAAAACCTTACAGCTGTGAAGAGTGTGGGACAACTTTCACTCAATCAAGTGCTCTAGAATCACATCACCGTATTCACACTGGAGAAAAACCTTACTGGTGTGAAGAGTGTGGGAAAACTTTCACTACATCAGGTCATCTCAAAAGACATCAACGTATTCACTCAGGAGAAAAACCATACTGGTGTGAAGAGTGTGGGAAAACTTTCACTACATCAGGTGCTCTAGAATCACATCACCGTATTCACACTGGAGAAAAACCTTACTGGTGTGAAGAGTGTGGGAAAACTTTCACTCAACCAAGTAATCTCAAAATACATCAACGTATTCACTCAGGAGAAAAACCATACTGGTGTGAAGAGTGTGGGAAAACTTTCACTACATCAGGTGCTCTAGAATCACATCATGATATTCACACTGGAGAAAAACCTTACTGGTGTGAAGAGTGTGGGAAAACGTTCACTAAATCAGGTCATCTCAAAAGACATCAACGTATTCACTCAGGAGAAAAACCTTACTGGTGTGAAGAGTGTGGGAAAACGTTCACTCAATCAAGTAATCTCAAAAGACATCTTCGTGTTCACTCAGGAGAAAAACCATAGTGGGTTTAAGAGTGTAGGAGCCGCAATTAAGCATATTTTGTTTTTTTTCACAGTTTACAATAAACAATTCCCATCTATTGGCCTTGTGTTGGGTAATCCTTTTTTCCATTACAGATCCCATCCCAACAGCGCCATCTGTTGACGTAACATCAGAATTGACAGGCATAATGTTCACTGTTCCTTTAAAGTGGACCTATCATGCTATATTTGAATAATATAGTGTAGGACCATACCTATATAAGGCATATTTATACTTTTTATTTTTCAAAATACCAAACAGATCATGCATTTTAGCCATTCCTCATTTCGATCAATTTAACACTGTCTTTGCATGGGCTGATTCTGTGAGAACAGCGCCATCTGTTGACGTAACGTCAGAATTGACAGGCATAATGTTCACTGTTCCTTTAAGTTTCGTTTTCTGTGCGTCTGCCGACAGCGCGCTGTTTCATTAGTTTACATACCAAGGTTTAAGTACACTGTGTCAATAGTTGTAGTATGAGCATCGTCTGGGCTGGCCGTCTGGTAGAATCGGTATCCTGTGTCCAATTCCTCTCCTGTCACCTATGACCCCTTTTATACACCCCACCACCAAGTGTTCAAACATCAACATTCAGGGTGTCCGCGGGGTCTTAAAAAGTATTAAAAGTTGATAAATCAATTTAGCAAAAATTAAGGCTATTAAAAAGTATTAAACGGCATTTTACAAGGTATTAAGAAGGTCCACAGCAACGACAACAAGAAACACCCTTTAATTTACTGAAACAACATGTCGCGGAAACCCCCTCAAGTACCTCATTCACACCAACGGTGTTTCAGGGCCGGTTCGGAGCTGGAGCTTGAAAAGCACCGGGTTTTCCTCTTCACACCGCAGCGGAGCCGCCTCTTAGCTCCGGAATCCGGTTCGTTTCAAGCACCAAAAAATTGTTAGGCCAGAGTAAAAGCACCACATACGTCACGCTTACGTCGAGGCGGGGGCAGAGATAGATCAACTCCTGAACAACAACAAAAAGTCCGCGTTTTATCCAGTTTGTACACAACGATGGAGAAACTTAACAACTTTAAGAGTTTCAGTGTTTCTGCCATAGACTGTATATATAAAGGTTTCTGCTCATGGTGAAGCAACGTGTCTGCGTGTTAAGGTGGAACCTGAGCATTCACGTTGATCACCTCTCATTATAACTCATTATAAATCTATAAAACTATAAATATTAAAGTTTACTTCACGTGTTCATTTGAGAACAGCTTTTACATACCTGGGTGAAGGTTACAGTTCATTTAAATGAAAGATACAACGTTACTCCACACTCATGGTTCAGTCCACCTTAAGAAATTAGACCGACCTCGGAAGCAGTTGTGTTTTAAAAAAACCTTTATTGACACGAGTACACTTTTTTATAAGAATATAACTAAACCACAGAAATGACTCTGGAAAAGCTGCAGATAGAGCCATAAGAAATGAATGCAACTGATTTCATCCGCGCGGTTTGGCTTTATGAAGCAGGCACGCAAACGGTTACGCCATGATGCAAACGATGACGCAACGAAGCATTACCAGTCGGACTCTGGGCGGTGTGAAAAGAGCCAGAGCTAAACCGAAGAACTGGTTCTGAACCTGAAAAGCTCTAGCACGGAGCTTGAACCGGAGTTGCGTTGGTGTGAATGAGGTAAAGGTGGCCCCATGCATAGCGTGCCATAAAATGCTGCCTCTTATTTTAAGTTTCGTTGCCTTGCTCCGCTCGGTGGGGGGGGGGGGGTACACCTGAGAGATATACAGCAGGAGAACACGCCGTTCACCGCGGAGAATAAACAGAAGGGCAACCATACTCCGGGGTCTTCTTCGCTGCTTTTGGTGTATTTTGTGGCGGTAGCAGCACCACTTACAGGCCTGGCATATGTACTACAGCATTTCCAGCATTTCCAGCGGTCTAGTGTGAACGGACGCGTTAATGAATCGAATGCGTGTGAACGGAAGACTTTTTTGCGTATGCGTTTTACTGTATGCGTCCTTGTGGTTTCTTAAAGTATTCACCTTAAAGTCCAAGAGCGAGTTTCACTGTTGATTAATCTGCTTCATGTATCTAGAACATATTTACGATGTTTTCAGTTTGATTCTATTCTCTTGTTGAAATGATCAGACTACCAAAAATAAAATGGCCTTAGAAACAGACCAGCCTGCCCTCCTACAAAAAACGACCAAATAGGTCGATTGTTGAAGCACCTTAGATTACGACCCAGAGCCACGTTTTAAAGTGTGGTCGTGTAAGAAACAACATGCTCCCGTTTATTCACAAATAACCCTCTCTGCAAAATCCTAAATTGTGGAATAGTTGTGCCATTAAAATGCTTTTTGATTAGATTTCTAGCGAGAAGTGTATATTGTACTCTTAGAATCCACGTCCAGTCGATGTGTAGGATCTATAGTTTGATAGATATTACGAAGATGATCTGAGGTCTCGCCAGGATAACGTGTAAGCAGCTTCCATGCAAAGTTAGCGTGGGTGAAAACTGTTTTTCCGGTCTCGAAGTTTTCACAATAAAACCGGAAGTATTCCCCTCACTGTCAAATGATTACACAGTGATATCTGCATTACTCATCCACTAAACAACATCAGTTTATCCTTGTTAATTACACAATATTGATTGGTTTAAATTGTGTGCAATGCTTTTGTGTTTTTAACCTTCGATTCAGAGAAACAAATAGTTTTTTAGGAGTTTAGACACTACAGTTTCCGAAGACACTACACTACCCATAATCCCCAGCTGTCGTTTGGGACTACAACATCCGCCTTGCTTTACAAACCCAGTGATTAGTCATCAAGCCCTGTGATTGGATGTTGGAGTGGCAGTGCGACAAGGTTACGCTGAGCGTCAACAGCTCTTTGAAATGGAATGGAGCCACGGCAGACTTTCCAAAACTGGAATTGGACAGCACATTTAGCAAATATGGCAGCATCCATCGATCATCTTAAGATAAGATATACTTTATTGATCCCAAGTTGGGAAATGTTTTTGTTACAGCAGCATACTACTTTGTTCTACTCCATTACAATTCAGAGGTTAACCTGGTATTTTTACTCCACTACATTTTGTAAGGAACATGTCTGTCTTATGGACATAGTTAACATGGGACTTTTCCTTAAAATGTACTGAAGTCCGCACAATGTAAATGTGATGTCAACTACCAATGCAAATTCCCTGCCAAGGGCAAGACAAATGTTACCAACTATGCCTACACACATGCAACCCTTGGGGGTTCTATTTTGTTGTTATTCAGTGTTACCAGGGGCACGAACTTCTGACCGGTGTTCCCTCTTGGTTTAGTCCGTGGGGGAGTGCTTAAGTGTGGGTACACATGTTCACCTGGTGCACAAGGTTATGGAGGTGGGGGGTCTTGCTGGTGCTCAAGTGCCCATATACATCACCCCATGTTCCCATGACTGGTACCCTGCTAAAGAGACACTATTTCAGGGGTAAACTGTATCCATGTTGACCCCTGGTTCTTCATCCTTATACCCTGGATGCATGTAGATGGGCCTGGAAGAATGCAATGTGGAGTTCCAATGCAAATCGGCTTAAGTCCAGTCAGGGTCTGGACATGTTGCCATGACTGGTACCCGCCTTAAGAGACACTATTTCGGGGTAAACTGTATCCATGTTGACCCCTGGTTCTTCATCCTTATACCCTGGATGTATGTTGGTGTCCCTGGAAGAATGCAATGTGGAGTTCCAATGCAAATCGGCTTAAGTCCAGTCAGGGTCTGGACATCTTCCCATGACTGTTACCCTGCTAAAGAGACACTATTTCGGGGTAAACTGTATCCATGTTGACCCCTGGTTCTTCATCCTTGTACCCTGGATGCATGTTGGTGTCCCTGGAAGAATGCAATGTGGAGTTCCAATGCAAATCGGCTTAAGTCCAGTCAGGGTCTGGACATGTTGCCATGACTGGTACCCGCCTTAAGAGACACTATTTCGGGGTAAACTGTATCCATGTTGACCCCTGGTTCTTCATCCTTATACCCTGGATGTATGTTGGTGTCCCTGGAAGAATGCAATGTGGAGTTCCAATGCAAATCGGCTTAAGTCCAGTCAGGGTCTGGACATGTTGCCATGACTGTTACCCTGCTAAAGAGACACTATTTCGGGGTAAACTGTATCCATGTTGACCCCTGGTTCTTCATCCTTATACCCTGGATGTATGTTGGTGTCCCTGGAAGAATGCAATGTGGAGTTCCAATGCAAATCGGCTTAAGTCCAGTCAGGGTCTGGACATGTTCCCATGACTGTTACCCTGCTAAGAGACACTATTTCTGGGTAAACTGTATCCATGTTGACCCCTGGTTCTTCATCCTTATACCCTGGATGTATGTTGGTGTCCCTGGAAGAATGCAATGTGGAGTTCCAATGCAAATCGGCTTAAGTCCAGTCAGGGTCTGGACATCTTGCCATGACTGGTACCCTGCCTAAAGAGACACTATTTTGGGGTAAACTGTATCCATGTTGACCCTTGGTTCTTGTTCCTTGTACCCTGGATGTATGTTGGTGTCCCTGGAAGAATGCAATGTGGAGTTTCAATGCAAATCGGCTTAAGTCCAGTCAGGGTCTGGACATCTTCCCATGACTGGTACCCGCCTTAAGAGACACTATTTCGGGGTAAACTGTATCCATGTTGACCCCTGGTTCTTCATCCTTGTACCCTGGATGTATGTTGGTGTCCCTGGAAGAATGCAATGTGGAGTTCCAATGCAAATCGGCTTAAGTCCAGTCAGGGTCTGGACATCTTCCCATGACTGGTACCCGCCTTAAGAGACACTATTTCGGGGTAAACTGTATCCATGTTGACCCCTGGTTCTTCTCTCCTGGTGTCCATTTCATGTACATTTCCTGGTGTCCATTTCATGTACATTTCCTCGTGTCCATTTCATGTACATTTCCTCGTGTCCATTTCATGTACATTTGATGGGGGAGTCACATGTGGATGAAATAGACCCGATTCCCGGAGGTTCCGGGCCGAATTTGGGAGCTCATATGCGGCCTGCCGTGCACCCCCACCCGTGGAAAGCAAAAAAAAGTAAAT